ATTTATTTTCCAAAGTATCAGGAAGCAAGACAAGAAAAAAATGAATGGAATCTAACCAAAAAGAGAAGCAACCTAGAACTAAAGAGAAAATTCCTAACAGTGAGAACAATTAACCAGTGGAATGGCTTGTTTTCAGAAGTTTAGTACTCCATCGCTGGAGGCCTTTAGGAAGAGACTGGACAGCCACTTGTCTGAAATGGTATAGGGTCTCCTACTTAGCAGGGGGTTGGACTAGGGTAAGCACCTAAATTAGGAATCTGATCCATAGATTTGATCTGCATCACAGATCAAAATTCCAAATTGATTGTCCTTAGTCATTAAAGCCAGTGAAACTTAGTGGTGCTAGACAGCTTCGAAACTATCTTTATTGTCTGATAAAGCCATCCCGCCTTGGTCCCAGTAATCAATGTGCTAAAGCCCACACACTGGAAGCCCGTCATTTTATCGTTCTTTGTCCAATCTCTAGGTGTCATCATTTATTGGGGTGAATCTACGATTGTGGCCAAGTTCACATAGTCTTGATTGTCATCAATAGCAAGCTCACTGTTATCAATAGTAAATTCACTACAGTTTTACTAACGTTTTGTTGAAGTAAGAAATCGGGGATCTTAGCACAATCAGGTTACTGTTACTTTAGTATTCTTGGTCTAACATTGGCTATTTGCAGTCTCTTGCAGAAATAAAATAATTAGTAATTGTCTCAGTTGTGAATTACTTAGACCAATTTCCTGTGTTAGAAGTTGCAAACCAAGTTGTGCATAACATCTATGAATTAAAACAATTACATATAATTTCATCTCTTCATTTAAGTATATTACACATGCAAAACAATTTCCAAAGTTTTATAAATTTTACTCAGTATTTCTCACTAGTCCTTAAAATTTATTATAATAACATTATTGTCCATGACAATAATTTTCATTGGTAGTTTCAAGATAGCAGAAATATCCTATGTATTATTCCCACCATCAATTACAGTGTATCATCTGTGTATATGTATCAAATCTAAACCTAGATGCCTATACCCCCTACATACGCACAAACATGCCATGTGCCGGGCTTAACTCTGGTTTCTTTGCCTTTTGCTTATATAACTACAATGGAAGTTAAGTAGACAGAATTACAGTCTCCTTTCTGGGCTGTAGGTAATACAAAGAACATCCTTAATAATTTATTGTAAACAAAATCTTCCCCTCTTTTACGGAACAGAAAATTACGTGTGTCTTAAAGAACAAGAGAGAACGGCTCACTCCAGTGCAGAAGGTACACTGAACTTGACTATGTATTCATCATTTTATTCAAGTCTGTCCTTTTGACACTATTAGACAAAACTTCAGGCATACGTAAATTTACAATCCGAAGTGGTGATCAGTTAAAAAAAAAAATCAGTGGAATGACCTGTTTGAGAAGTTACTGCAGCTGAACTTTACAGCCATCTTTTTAATAAGTCTGTGAAAGTCACATTTATGATAATAATGAATAGTCTCTTTTTAATAGAAGAAAGATGTCCCAAAATTTCTCTCCTGCACTAGCAATCTCATTTTTCAGTGCTGAATCCATATATGAAAACTTAATATAAAAAATGTTATTTCAGTATACTTTTTGCATTGTGAAGCTGGGCCCAAGATAGCCTTAATAAAAGCTGTTTCTCAAGAATAAACACAGAGACATAGATAAGGCAAAAGATAATAAGGTGACCAAAAAAATCTTATGTAAATTCCAAAGATGAGGCATGTAACACCAAAGTCTTCAATTTTATGATCGAGACACTTTTGAAAACAAAAAAATAAACTTGATGACTTAAGAGAAATGCTTTTAATTTTGGTCCTGCATTGCACAATCATGACAAATTACCCTCTTTGAATTTCAAAAAAAGAAAATAAATATATATTTAAATTTCAATTGCTTCAGTTAGGTTCTAGAAAGGAGACTCCCAAGTGAAGTGAGAATTATTGATTCATCCAAATTAATCATAGGGAGGATCAATGCTCTCAGAATGAACTTTCTGATATACAGGTAATCATGGAGGAGATAAATCCAAAGCATATACAATGTATTACTTTTAAGTAGTATTTTAATTTGGTAAGCAAATCTTCAGCTAACCAACTTCTTCTCGAAGAGGATACTTCTGTAGCAGCATTTTTAATAAAAACAGCTTTATCTATAGATTGATTTTTATTAAGCCAGCATAAGAATTCATTGAGACTTGAAATGTGGTTGATGCCAATATATGATATAGAGCAGGGATTTTCAACCGGTGGTACGCGTACCACCTGTGATATATTAGCACTTGGCAGGTGGTACGCAGCCCTGTCCAGCCAAGGGTAGTGGGGGAGGGAACAACCCAGCACAGGCAAGGACTTACTGTGAGGGAGTCCTCTGGAACTGCAGAGTGGCTGGGGTAAGGCAAAGGTCCCAGGCTCACTTCTGGCTCACCCGGAAGAGAAAGGAGGATGGGGTCGGAGAGGCTATAAAAGGAAGCAGTTTGGGTGGGAGAGGGAGAGAGAAAAAAAGCAGAAGCCTTGGGAGGAGGCAGTCAGCTCTAGCTGCATCAGAAGGGAAAGAAGGAGGAGGGTAGAGGGAGAGGAGATCAAGTAGGCCGGCCATGAGCTGATCTACAACTGCTGTGGCAGCCACCTGTGCTGGCAGCAGCAAACAGGCAAGAAATGCCGCAGGGGAGGGGTCACCCTGCACAAGGAATGAAAAAAGGCAGCAACAAAGAAAGGCAGCATCAGCTGGAGGTGAGGCACTGAGAAGGAGGGAGGGAGATGGAGAGTGGAAGGATTCTTATGTGCTTTTGTGACTTTGAAGTTCTGGGATTTGTGCAATGTAGGCTTTGTGTTCTTAAGGAGTGTTTGGCAATTTCTATTTGGCTGATGTCTGGGTGTTAGCTTTTATTGTTCTGCTACTGTTAGCTCTAAGTTTTGCTGCAAGGGATTTTGAATTATTTTTCTCCTGAATGGATTTTGCCTGTAGCATTCCTTTAGTTATGAATGGAGCTATTTGGGGAGGCTGCCTTAGCTGGCAGCCAGTACTTATTTACATTTTTTTTCTTCCTTAAGTGCCAGTTGCACTCCTTAATTTTTCTTTCTTGCCAGTAACTAATTCTTAAAGGGGAATGCGCCTTTTTAAACTAGTTCCCTCAATGGCTTTTCTTTTCTGTCTCTGGAGGCTTTTCCTTGTTTGATGAATATATGGAAGAGGGAAAATATGGGAGGGTTCAAATTCTTCCTTCAGAAGATGGGAATGAGAAAGAGGGAGGGAGGAAGTCCCGCCTTAACCCTGCCATTGACTTTGCTTGTCAAAAGGTTGCAAAGGGGGATCACATGACCCTGGGACACTATGACCATCATAAATATGTATCAGTTGCCAAGCATCCAAATATAAATCATGTGACCCTGGGCATGTTGCAATGGTCATAAGTGTGAAAAATGGTCATAAGTCATTTCAGTGCAATTGCACCTTTGAACAGGGGTGGGGGGTTTTTTTGGTCATCAGGTTTTTGATGGTGGTACTTGAATACTATCATATCCTAAAAGTGGTACAGTCGGTGAAAAGGTTGAAAAGCCCTGATTAGAGAATTTGAATTTATCTCCCTATCCAATATCATAGAAAATAAAGCGGAGAGGAAAAGTACACATTTTTGTAAGACAAATCCCTCCTACATAGAATTATAGACATGAATGAGGCAACTACATAAAGAAAGAACTGTTAGGTTCTAACTTGCAGTTAGCCTTTTCTAGTTAGTACCTTCCTGAAACGTCGGGCTCTTCTTATTACCCTAGTGAACATAGCAAAGTCAGACTGGCTAGTTAATTACAGGGATTTAAATCATGCATATTTTGATGACACCAGCTTGGAGAAGACTTCAGTAGATTGTCCCTAGAAGGGTGAACTTTTTCATTAATTAACAATAAAACACCAAAATACTGCAAAAAAATTATTATACATTAAATATTAAATATATTTCAATTCCATCAAAGTAGATGATCATGTAAGTAAACCCATATCAGACTAATATCAAGAATATTTGCAAGTGTTCTATCCTTTAGCTATTTATAATTCTAATAGTTCAGGATTTTTTTTTCTCAACTTTTCTCAAGACCAATATTTCATAAACAATACAATTACTATTTTTCTAACAAAAACAAAACCAAGAGAAAAATATTCCTGTGGGTTTTGTTTTTTTTAAAAAAATCTGCTCATCAGTGTTACATTCAAGCCCCTTTTTTTAAAGCAGAGAATAAAATTAGCCTACAAATATACAACTGAGGTATAACAATAAATTTCAGTATTCTGATTGCACTAGAGTGGACCAAAGAACATTTAAATGTTGTGCAAACTGTGTCACAAAAATCTATGTTACACAGAAATGTACTGCACAGGTTTGGACATCTGCTCCACGTATTCTTTTACAACAAACATTTAGTATTTCTGCTGGAACAGGTGTTTGCATTGTGGGAACAAAGGGATACACATATACAAACAATTCAATAAACATTAGACATTTATTTTAAAAATCTCCCTTTTTAAAATTTATTATCCCTTTGTGCTTCTTCCCATTGCTTATCACAGTGTTGGCAGTAAGTCATAGTCAGATCTGTATCAAGTATCAAATACAGAAGTTGGATTCCTATAAGGAACACAAGCCAGTTTTCTGATGATTAAATTAGGAACAATGGTCAATTCTACACTATTTAAAACAGACCTGTTCTTATCTCGGGGTTCATATTGCCAATCCATGTCTGAGATCATAATCTAGCCAAAGCAGATTACTTTTCTAGATCACAACCTTAGACAGTTCTTATTTAAGGCCCATACTTTTTACAAATTTTATCAAAGCAGCAATTTTGTCTGATGCATAATTCAAAGTACCTATTTAAACATGAAGGTCCTAAGGAAAAAAAATCACACCAAAAAAATCTGGTTCGTATTAGAAATAACCAAAACATGTACTGTACATAGACACAAATAAATCCAGAATATATCTAACAGCTTACTTAACAGAAGAGGGCCATTTTATTTATTTAATCTCATCCCTTTTTCTTTCTCTTTGGATAAGGAAAAGTAAATCATTTTTCTCATAATCTCCATTCTGAACTCAAAGTATAATATGTTTTCTATGCACAATTAAAACAAAGCTCTGGCATTATACATAATTTGTTCAAGAAATTACTTTCATCCTTAATATATAAATATAGTATTTTAAATATTCAAAATATAAAATATCAAGGATATGTTCAATAACATGGTTTCAAAAAAGTAATATGCCCCCAAGGGATTTTTAAATGTTTATCTTTTAAGCAACTCATACCACAACAAGATTTTGAAACCAAGATATTTTTAAAAAAGAAAAGAAAGATATTCATAAAATCAGTCAAACTGATATGCTTAGCAGTTTTCAGCTCCAACAGAAGTAATGAATTTGCCTTAAACACTAACATTTGATCTCTGCAAGAAGATTGTATGGATACAAAATGGAAAAACATTATCCTTGGTGGGTATGATCCTTTATGAGTCTTCTTTGGTAACTTCTGATTTGTGCTGACTTCGAAAGTGTTGCTCAAGATTGATGGTCACCTCCCTTTGGAGATTTCTACTGTTGTTTTTTCCAGCTGTGTGGATCCATACGTGTTGAAGAACTTGTTGAGCAGTATAGCGCTTTTTTGGATCAACTACCAGGAGTCGGTTTATCAGGTCCTTTGCAGCTATTAATATCAAAGACAAGTAAATTAATATGATTTTGCTTTGAACAGTTTCATAGAATTGGAAAAACTTAATAAAACTAAAAAAATTAATGTATGGCAACATTGGGCCACAATTTGGAAGGCCAAAATTACAAAAATATTTAATTGCATCAAAAAAGATTCATAGGTAGACTCTGGAAAATCTTTCTTCTGTCTGTCACAATTTTAGAATAAAGTATTAAAATAGTATGAAATAAATGTACTGTACAGTTTCTACTTATAATAAAGGTAAACTTTTCATTCAAAAAACATACAGCAGGAATAAAAAAGCAATGCTTTGCACTGAAAAAGACTAGCAATAAGCACTTCAGATTCCACACAACAAAATTATTATATAGACATATCACAGTTTGACTTTGCTTTTCCATTGTTATGGCTCTATAACAGCGGTTCTCAACCTCTGTGTGACGGCGACCCCCGTCACACGGACGCACCCCCATGCGCGATGCGCATGCATGGCCCTATGCGCGATGCGCATGCACGGCGCCCCCACACACGGCATGCATGCACAGCAGCGCCCCCATGCGCGGTGGCGGCCCGAGGGGGGGCAGATCGCGTTGTTTGGCGACCCCCGTAAAATGGTCGTTCGACCCCAAATGGGGTCGCGACCCATAGGTTGAGAACCGCTGCTCTATAACATCAAGGTTCCATTTTTACTCTTCTCATTGTTCTAAACAAGTACCTTCTAAACAAGTGTTTTATTTTTTTTCCAGGGATTTTAAGCTAAAAATACCAACTAAAAAACTAAAGGGGAAAAATCTTTCTGATAGTTTATACTTATGAATATTCCCTTGTTTACTCATTAATTCACCAAAATACTATGAACATATCCTACAATACAAGATATCTTACAATAATACAATAATCCCTAAATCTCTGCCATAATCCAAATTGCTGCTTCCTTTGATTAGCAGAGAATATTGCCTTCTCTGCTAATAAATCATTTCTTTCCAGCAACCATTCCTTGATATCAGGAATAATATCTCTTTTTCTATTTCTTAATATAATTCTTTTTGTCACCCACTATGATCAATTCAAGCACAATTCCTAATAAACAGACAAATTCTAAAGTTCTGATAGACAATTCCACAGTTATATTAACATCTTTAGCATTTAAGGATTTTCCTATTACTCTACTCATGCTTTAATACACAATCTCAAAATGGCACCAATGATCACTTGTTGATATCATATCATATTTATTGATAATAAAAAATCTCTAGCTTAGAAAATCTGATGTCCAGATTTCAAATATGCTACTTTGGGAGTAAATACACTATTTTAGAATCTAATATACTCTAAATACAACTGAAATACAAATACAATCTTATTATCCATTATGGTTAATCTTAAGTATAATTAATGAATATAAACCAGTGTTATGAACATGATATAGAGTAGATTATTTTTATTAAAGATACTAAAAATTGCAATTTTTCCCAGTTTTAATATTATGACACAAAAACCACACAAACCTCCAAACTCAATATTCTTTGTAGAAGAGAAGCAAGAAAAATGTACAATTTAGAGTGCATCTGCAGTCCATACTCATAATATTAAATGTTTATGTCCACACATTTCACCAAGCTATTTGTTTTGTTTAATTTTAATTTAGTGTGAGATGTGAACTTAATCATTTTGTTTATAAACAATATTTATAGCTTCTGTGTGAATCCAGCTATTTTAACATTCCCCAAATCATATTTAAAACAAGTAAAGATAAACCCAGCTTATGGTTTAGCATTAGGTGTGAATATTTTACTTATGTAATGCTTATACTTCCGCTATTCAAATGGATATCTAGGAAATATACAACCTAGCATAGACATCACCCATGGTTCAACTATATGTATTGTCCTCTAGCTTCTAAAGGTTTAACAGCAATAGCTACACATCTTTCCAGTCTTATGGTGTGTGTGTGTGTATGTGTGTGTGTGTGTATTTAAAAATTAAAACAGCTTTCCAGACTATTATATTAAATATTGACTTTCATGCTCCTTTCATATTCAAAGAATATGAAATAAATATAGGAACCACTATAACCTGTCCCTTCCCACCGAAGTGGTACCTATTTATCTATTTGCATTTGCATGCTATTGAACTGCTAGGTTGGCAGAAGCTGGGGCGAAGACGGGATCTCATCCTTTCCAGACGACAAGGCCAGTGTCACCACCACCTATAGTCAGCAACAACTAACTGAGTAAAATCCACAGGGATTCCTTTACCTTTTACTTTTTACAACCTGTTTAGCCAGCTTACTAAAGGAAGCTTACCAGATGAAATGTTGTCCCAGTATGGAGAGAGAAATTCATAATGTCCAAGCTGTATAATTTGAAATAACTCCTCCTGATCTCGTTCATGACTTCGGAATGGAGGGAAGCCACAAAGTAAAATATAGAGTATTACACCGGTAGCCCATATATCGACTTCTAAACCATAGCCTAAGCGAGAGACAAAAATTGACATTGGTAAGTGATTTAATTTTTTACTTTCGTATTTTACAACAGTGTTTCTCAACCTTGACAATTTTAAGGCATGTGGACTTCAACTCCCAGAATTCCACAGCCAGCAATGCTAGCTGTGGAATTCTGGAAGTTGAAGTCAACATGCCTTAAAATTGTCAAGGTTGAGAAACACTGTTTTAGAATGTGAATAAAATATCAGAATAAAATCAGTAAATTCCTTACGTCTTAGGTCACATGCAACTCTAAATATATTTAATAATCTCCTAATCATCCTAAACTTAATCAAGCATGATGAGGGCCCATTATTATCACCAGTTCTGGCTTATACTTATACACCAGCAGCTGCTATTATAAATAAAGCTGTCAGCCTTATCAGGAAATATGACCAGATCAGCTAATTCTACTTTATTGTAAGACTACATTAACATATTCTTGCAAATTTGAAGAGAAGAGACCTTTTCTGAGTTTCTATTTAGACAGCTGCTCATTTCCTTAATTACCGTATTTTCCAGCATATAAGACCATTGGGCGTATAAGACGACCCCCAACTTTTGAGAAGATTTTCATGGTTTAGCAAGTCATCTTATACACCGGAAAATACAGGTGCTTTAACTTTCTAATAAAAGTAATGTAAGTCCTAAACACATTAGCATTTCATTATATTTCATCACTTGTTCCTGATCTGCTGAAAACAAATGTAGCTGGGTAACATCCCATAATAAGCATGGGGGTGCACTTGTGAACTTTGCAGTATATGAGGAGGACTAAAGGATAGCGGGAGGGGGGGAGGAAAGCAGGTCGCGGCGCTAGCCAAGCCCAGCTGTCCAACAGGTAGAGACTTTGGATCCATTTTCTCCAAATGGATCTGAAAACACCCTCTACTCCCACTTGCCCGACCCCCAAGGCTGCCCAGGCCGGGTGGGGCTGGCAAAGGCAGCGCATCCTAAAGTCCGTCGGTGAAGGCACCTGCCAGACTGCAGGCAGATCGCTCTGTCATCTGTGCAGCGAGAGCATCAGCCACGGCAGCAAGTTGCCAAAGAAGCGGCCGAGCAAGGAGGAGGAAACGCTGAGCGTCTGTCCGTCGGGGTCCCAGGGCTTCTGGCGCTCAGCACGACGGCACCGGGTGTGGTCAACCCCGAGGAAGCGGCACCCTCTGTGCAGGCGCCAGCTCCTACCAGCTGCTCCTGCCGGCCACTCAAGCAGAGGTGGTGGCGGGGGGGTTTCCCCGGGGGAGGAAAAGCCCCGCTCGCACCACCTTCCTCCACCGCTCTAGACTGGACACGATCCCTGCCCCACCCACCACTCTAGACTGGGGGGTGGACGCTTCTGCGAAATCGCTGGCCTTCTGCGAGCGCTGAGCAGCACTTCAGCAGCAAGGGGGGCGGAGGCACTTCTTCTCGGGAAGCCCCCACCGCTGACCCAACACGGACATTCTTACTTGGCTGGCTCTCCGCCAGCGCTCCTCTCCCGCCATTGGTCCACCAACGCTCCAACCTCGCCCCTTCCTCCCGGCTGTTTCTCGGAGGGACACTTTTCTAGGGCTATTTGGCTGCATGGGACTCTTAAACTCTCATCCAGACAGCCAATCCCCCACCAAGGGGTGAGGAGCATGGGGTGCAGGATACGGGGGAGCTTGCTTTGATGTATCATATTTTCCGGTGTATAAGACGACCCCCAACTTTTGAGAAGATTTTCATGGTTTAGAAAGTCGTCTTATACGCTGGAAAATATAGTAATACTATCAAATAAAACTCAAAGACTACATAATCCAATTGCACTCCCGTAGCATACAAATTCCTACTTTTTCAGGAAAAGAAAAAACAATTCCTAAAGTTTATCCCTATTCCCATTTCTGTACCATCCCTTTGTGCATTTTCAGACATGCATTCCTGGAGACAATCCAGCACTCCTCAACAATTACCAACAGAAAGGGACAACTGAGCAGCAAGAGATCAAACTGACAACTCTGTAATATAATACAAAAGAATACACTGAGGCCAAATTCATAGTGTTGTAAGAATATACAGCATAAAAGAACAACCTAGGCCTCATTCATACATCCACGGTGTTATAAGAACATCTACTTGGATAACAGCTAAGCAATAATAATAAAACAAGATTAATCAAATGCTTGCATAACTTAATATAAAGATTTTACAAAAAATTGTATTGACCATTCTCAGCAAGTATTTCAGGAGCAACGTAAGTTGGAGTTCCACACACAGTGAATATTGGTCTGGTCACCTGCTTTGCAAGACCAAAATCTGCTAATTTCAATGTGGTAGTTTTATCTGGATTACGCTGAACCTGAGCAGGAAAATCAAAATTAGACAGAAATCATTAGTGTGAATTGCAGGCTTAACTATCAATTGAAAATTACACAATGGATCTCTATTGCTACAAAACTAGTGGGATAGAACCTATCCCAGGGCAGCCTATGGGCTGGATGCCTATGGGCCGGATGCGTCACGCGCAGATCATACCTACCCCAGCTCTGCAAAGGCAAAAAATGTTGCAATCATGTGATCTATCCTATCTAACTGCCTATCACAAATAAACAGGTATTGATTTGAACTGCTATGATGTAGCAATTGGAGTAGTTCAAAGGTTTTAATGGGCTGGGCTAATTAAATATCTACAGAAATCCACCTCTTTTGCTATACAGGTAGTCCTCAGCTTACAACCATTCATTTAGTGACCAAAGTTTCAATGGCACTGAAAAAAATTACTTTCAACTGTTTTTCATACTTACAACTCTTGCAGCAACCCTACGGTCACATCTTCAAAATTCAGGTGCTGGGCAACTGGCATGTATTTATGACTGTTGCACTGCCCTAGAGTCATTTGATCACCTTCTGTAATCTTCCCATTAGCTTCAGACAAGCAATCAATGGGGGAAGTCAGAATCACTTAATGACTGTATGATTTGCTTAACAACTCAACTGTGGCAAAAATGTCATAAAATGGAGCAACAGAAATGTTGGGCTCAATTGTGGTCATAAGTTGAGGACTACCTGAAGTTTCTTGAGTAAGAGGGCACTGTTGCAATAGCTACCTCTCAGTGACACTTTATGCTGCCTCAATTGAAAAGAATCCTGAAAAAAATATCAAGGAATTCTTTGGAAGTTGGTTTCAGAATATGCAGTGATATGTTGGATGAATCAATGATGAGAAATAGTATAAGACAAGTGATGATCTATGTCTCAGATGCCTCTAACCTATGTTAAGAAGTGCCCACTTTGATTTTTTTTCTGAATAACGAACACTGGAGGAATTTTGATAAATTAAGCTGAATGAAATTTTATGAGCCACTGCAATCCTCCCAATGCCGCTTAAATGAATAAAGCAGTCCACCTTTCATTTTCTTTTTTGATTTCTTTGGACATGGTTTCAATATATCTCCTGAACACTTGTATGAAAATTTATTAAAAAAGAAGGCACGTAAATCTGCATGTCTACGAACTGATGAGCTATCAAGTGACTTCAATGAACACCTCTAAAGATACATGCCTTCTATACAGAAGTTACAACAGACTCACATTTTTCTCTGCTATTACCTCTAGCCACACAAGATGGCAACATAATATTGCCAGATCCATGTAAAATTTTGCTATGCGTCTATCCATTCCATTTCTTCAATACACTGAAGCTTCTTTATACACCGCAAAATATTGTTAAGGTCATCAGAGAAATTAGTCACATTTCACTTTTGTATTGTTTTACAGAATAGTTTTGTAAAATCTATTTACCAGTTTTGAAAAGGGGGGTTTACTCTGCAGTTATTTTTTTTTGTTTTAATGTATTAAAGTTGAATTACATCTAATGCAAATCAGTCGTTCCTTTTCTCAAGAAAGTACTCCCAAGCTTTCTTAACCAGAGAAATTTAATCAATTCAATCAATCCAAATTCCTAGACTAACCCTTAAGGGGATAGGGACAATTGTACCAATTCCACACATTTTGTATACTCCTGTGCTAGACCACTTGTTCATATGCACCAAAATAAATTAAATAGCAACTGTTTCAGTTTATCAGAAGGCACTGCAATGTATTTTGCAATTCTTACCAGAAGATTTTCAGGCTTGAGATCTCTGTGAACAATATTCTTGCTGTGGATATAGACGAGAGCTTCGCACAGATCTGTTATCATGAGAGCAGCGTCATGTTCTGTGAATTTCATACTTTCTATAATGGCATCAAATAAGTCACCACCAGGGACATATTCCATGATTAAGTGAATTTCTTCTTCAGTTTCAAATACTTCAATCAAGCTTACAATGTTGGGATGGGAGAGGCTCTTGATGATCAAGATTTCATTTTCTAGCATATCCTCCTTTCCCTTCAGCTTTGATTTGTCAATGATTTTCATTGCAAAAATCTGATTGGTGCTTCGATGGTGACACTCCATCACAACAGCGAAGTTCCCATCACCAATAGTTCTGCCAATTGCATAGTAATTCTCCACATCTGTTCTGCTAGAAACATTGTGACTCAATTTTACATCACTGGACTTATACATTTTTTTCCCTTCTTTGTTGATTTTAAGTTCTTCCTCCCTTTTGTGATTAACATGTTCATTCTCCCCCTGCTCCATTTTCTCATCTCCAGTATTTCCTTCTTTTAATTTCTGTACCTCTTCTTTTTCTCCCTGAATTTTTGTTTGCTTCTCTCTAGCAGCCTGAGAACTTTTTATTAACCAACAGCTCTGATTCATTCTAGAACATTTTCTATGTTCCTTCTTTAGCTCATAGGTATCTCCTACTATGGTGTGCTGGCTTTCTAATGGCTTTGCCTTCATTATTCCTAATTCTTCATTGTGGTTCTGCAGGATCTGATCTCTGTCAATACTTCTTTTTTGCCTCTCAAGATCTTTACTGGTATGACTATGTGAAGTTGTCCATGTACTCTGACAACCAGCTTCCTTCCATGTAATTTCATCTTCTTGTACTGAGTGTTCTGATAATTTCCTGCAACTTCTCAATTTTGCAGGCTTTTCAACATGGTATCTCTTACACGTTCTTACATTCAAGTCTCTTTTCTCAAATGGAAAATCATCCTGACTTTCTTTTTGCAATTTTTGTCTCAGCTGTCTTTCTCTTTCACATTTCTCACATCTGATAATGTTATCTGAACTTTTTTCAATGTCACTTTCAGAATTTCTCTCTACATTAAAATATTCTGCAATGTCTTTAGGTTTTCTAGTAGATTTCGCATCATGTCCTCCATTCCAGTTGTCTCTTATCCATCTCTTTTTGGGCCTCAATTTCTCCTCCTGTCTGATTCTGATATGAGCTTTTATGTCATGTTTGTTAAATAGTTTCGGAGACATGATATCCATGCATTTGCTAGCAACTGTGGGTTCAAGGCTCTTTTCTAACTTAGACATTTTTTCATGCATTCTGTGTTTGGGCTTCTGAGCTTGTTCCCAATTTTCTGAAGCCCTAGTAAGAGGAGTATAAGGGTTATCAGGATAAAGTTCTTGGATTGCCATTTCAAGAGTTTTCAAGGTTAAGTGTTCCTTTCCCATAGCTATAAATACATCACCCTCTCTAAAGAAATCAGAAACACTTCTGATTTCCCTTCCCTTTAAATTGTATAATTTTCTCACACGATCATTCTTCCACCGTGGAAATCCCAAGGCTTCTGAGATGTCAGCAATCAGCTGTTCAAATGTTTGAACAGAACGCCGATTTAAAAGCAATGTTATCTTCCTGATTGCATGCCCACAGGGCTTCACTACTGTGACAATCCTTGGCTTTACTGGGCTGTTCTCAGAATGGATAGTGTGGAAACCAGTCTGAAGATTTATAAAAGGAGAACTGAAACCATTTCTACCAAAGTAAGGCTTTCCATAACCTCCACGGACAATTGGTGGGCAAGTATCTTGTAGTCTTCTCTCAGTCACACTTGATCTCATGCAGCTTAAAGTGTGATCAAAAATTCCTCGATGTTCTGCAGCAAAAGAAAATAAGCAAATTTAGGAACTAGGACAGAAATCTTACCATTAATGTTTATAGCATATCTTCTACCTGTGCTGGCTGGAGAAATAAAGATATTCCAGATTAATCAATATTATAAAATAAAAATATTTTTGATGAATAAGTTAAAGAACAGGATTTTTTGATGAAAATACAAAAAAAAAAACCCAATATAATTAACAGTTAAGTGTTTTTGGAGTATCCCAAATTGCAAATCCAAAAATATTTTTTTTTAAACTATTTTCTCAAAAAAAAAAAAAGCTTTTATCATAACATAAAATTCATCAAGCATATATATTCTTTATTATAAAAACATTTTGCTCATTTTTCTTATTTAAATATGACTGTGATCAAACTATAACATAATCCCAAGAAACAAGTAGATAGCTACAATACAAAAGAAAAACAGTCAAATTATATATCCATGTATCTTGGTTCAAAAATTACGTTTTGACAGGGAAACCGAAATTCCCCATGAATTTTCTCTAAATGGACAAAACTCATTTTCCAATAGGAAAAAATGTGAAAACCTCATATAAAATGAATTCATATAAAGTAATACATTGAACAAGTAGAAAAAAAGACTCCTACAATTTCAAACAAGCAAGATAGGATTGTCTTCACCTCATTGAGAACTAGACTCTTCTAAAAACATTATATACTCGCTTCATTTCCTAGTTAATGGAAAGGAATTCAGTTTCTTCCATCTGATGTATACCCTTACAAGGGGGATTTTAAAAAAATAATTAAGTTCCATCTAAAACCTAGTCAGTCACTTTTGTTTACCAACTGTGTTTCTTCCTTTTAGGATAATCTCAATCAAATACCAATCATCAACTGCTTTAGTATTTCCAGTGAGCCTGATAAACTTTTATTATAACCTTGGAAAATATTTCTTCTTTAAAAAGTCTTTTTTCATTTACTCAGATGTTTAGTTGGAAAATGAGAAAGAGAGAGATCTTTCTCTCCTCATTTTCCAACTAAACATCTGGGTAAAGTGAAAAAGACTTTTTAAAGAAGAAATATTTTCCAAGGTTATAATTCTCCCACTTGTTATTCTTTTGCCGGGGTATCAAAATAGTCATAGTGCAGTCTTGCTGGACATCACCTCTCATTCCTCTTATCAGTCTTCCAATCTCTGACACAAAGCTTTTAAATCAAATATGTTCATATTACTTAGCCAAGAACTCTAAGATGAAATTGACTAGTTAGTCATTTAGGTGTATTCTTATTTCTTTCATTATGCAATGAAATTGTTATTAAGCTTCTACCATGCTTAACACACATAAAATGTAATATGCTCTAAGTTACACACACAGAAAGAGAGAGAGACACTGAGATTTCCAATCCACTTTATCAGGAATCCTAATTGGTGCCTGCTGCACTTTGTACAACTGCACGTAGTCCTCACTTAACAACCAAAGTTATGTGGACCTCCCAAAATATACTTGCAACCCAAAGTTACAGCCAATATAATGCCCTACAATCACACACCCTTACGATCAATCATAGGAATGCTGCAGTGCTTTCCCACCTATCTCTCACTTCCATTCCCCACACTGGGTTCCCACAGGCCTTTGTTTGCTTTCCACCCCATTGAGCCCCTCCTCACTTAACTTCCATAGATCTCCAGAATTCAGATGGTTGGAGTAGAGAAGGAGGACAGGCCACTAGGTTGGGGTAGGAAAGGAGGACAGGCCACAGGGCATGATCCTGGAAACGGCCACCATTTTTCAAGCAGCCATATTAAACTGTGACCACTTGGAAAATGGTGGTCACATCCAGGAGTGTGGCAGGCATCCCAGCATCGGAGAACCTTGCTTTACTTTGCTAACACAACTTCTGCAGCATTCCAGGGCAATTCGCAAATAAACCTGTTTGGTGATCTATGACAGACACTTGCAGATACAGAAATTTTATTATACACATTAGAAAACTACAACATTACATTACTTTTTGACATAATCGCCATTCAAACTGAGACACTTGTCATAACATCTTACAAGGTTTGAAATTCCTCAGTAGTCACTCAGCGCCAAACTTGGGCTATAGGGGAAGTGTGATCAAAAACATCCCAACGGAACTGCTTCAAAAGTTCTTGGGTGCATCTAGCGGTGTGCAGGCGAACATTATTGTGAATCAACACCACACTGGAAGTGGTACCATAGAAGATCCTGCCAAATGTGAAGATCCAAAGGAGTACTGCTAGTGAAGTTCAAGGAGTGTGGTTCGACCATCAATTCAGAAGTCTACTGTGAAACATTACAAAAACTCAGACAAGCCATCCATAACAAGTGTCGGGGCATGCTGACTTCCGTTGTGGTGTTGGTTCATGATAATACTCACCCGCATACCACTAGAAGCACCCAAGAATTTTTGAAACAGTTCCATTGGGAAGTTTTTGATCATCCCATGGCCCAGATTTGGCAACAAACAACAACTACTAAGGAATTTCAAACCTTGTAAGACATTATAACAAGTTTCTCAATTTGAATGGCGATTATGCCAAAAAGTAATGTAAAGTAGTTTTCTAATGTGTACAATAACAGTTCTGTATCTGCAAGTATCTGTCATTGATAACCAAATGGAGGTTTATTTTCGAATTGCCCTTTAACCAAACAAGTTTGGATATCCTTTGGAATTTATCAATTTGACCAAGATACTATAAAAATCACTCACATCTAAAGTAAAAGTTAATGGCATATTTTGTCCTACTTTCCCACTATTCAGATGCCCACACCTTCCTCCTCTCCTTTAAATCTCTAAATTCTGGGAGAAGAGAAAAGAGAAGCATACCAGGGCCTCCTTCAGATGGGAAAGGATATATGTGCATTTGTGTGCATCTGTACGTCTTCCCTTTCCAAAAAGCCAAAATCAAGCCTGTGTCACTTTCCTCCTATGCAGACTCCAGCAGATATTTTTCTTTAGAATTGTAATTATTTACTGCTAAAATTATATATTATGCTTTCTTTTTTCTCTATTTTCTCATTTTTTTAAAAAAAAGCAATGTTTGTGTGTTTTTTATTTCCTTGAAGATATACATATTTTTATTTTTGTGCTTTCTTATTTTTGTCATTATTTAAAAAAACAATAAAAGAATAAATTTTTAAAAATGCCTTCAATCTCCTATTCCTTAAAACTAAATTATTCAGTTTAACTTGGAAGACCAATGTATAATGTGTACATATCAGACTGTACAATCAGGAGAGAAAAATAGGTAGGCATTAACGGATGTATTATATTATCAGATGGAAACAAAATGTGATTACACTAGTCCTTTTACAGCAAATGGATTTTACACTGGCATTATTTACATACGCTTTAGGAAGATAAGCTTGCCCTCTTATTCTAGCTCAGTTAGTGGAAAATACATAAAGTTATTCAAGGATTACTAATGTTTATGAATTATAATGGGGAAATAGCATACACAGATAAATTTGGGAACCCAAGTATATTTTTACTGCACCAAACATTGTATATTTGGCACAATTAATTTAACAGTTGTATTCTTGTATGCTAAAGGTTCGAATGCACATTTGCAATACTTAGTGAAAATATTCTGTGCAAAACTTCCAAAGGAAGTTTTTTATGTAGTAGTCTTAGGTCAGGTGGTTTCCAATAATGAATTATAGTGAAGAAAATCATGAACTGAACTCCTTAATTTGAAAAATGGTTCTAAGAATCTCTCAAATGTGTCATCTCCCACATTTATACGTAAACTCTTAAACTAATTATACTAATTATGTTGGCAAAATTTTAGGCATTTGGAAACTATGTAGACCGTGTTAGCTCTCTATGGAGCCCATGTTAAGGCAGCAAAATGAGTGATTTGTCCCTCACCCATGTGGCAGCGACCTGGAAGCAGGACTATTTTGTCCTGCCTCTTGTGAATGATCTAAAATGGTGGCTGTTTTTGAAAAGCCACCATGTAGGTGAGGATCAAATTGGTCCATTTTGCTTCCCTTGCATGTTAAGGTAGTAAAATAAAGCGATTTGTCCCTTGGTAGCACACGCGATTCTGGAATGATAACAACTACTACTGAGTACACAAGCTTATTTCTTCCCATAGGCCACTTAAAAATGAAATAGTAATTCAAAATTATTATAGTCCTCGAAGTCTCCCAGACTTAACTGTATTTTATAATACACTACATTATTACAAAGTATAAGAAGTCTTATTCAGCATAAAAACTGCTTGAGTGATAGACAATTCTAAGAACTATTGGAAATCTCCAGTCTGCTTACATGTAAACTGCATGCATTAGCATCAAAGTCTAATAAAATAGGATTACATTATAAAGCCAGGAAACTTTCCCAATTTCAATTTGCAATGGAGTAAATTAGTTTAGGTAAGATAAACAACTTTCAGTCACTGTAGAAAACCACATATAATTCAATAAACTTAGATAAAGGGACAGATTAATTTTCTGAAGCCAGGGCTTAGGCTTTGTTGTACATATATTTTAAACAAGGATTGTTTTAATCAGTTTGAGAAAGCATTCAGCCATCCAGCAAACTCTTCAATGTCCCAATGATTTAAAACAGGATCAGTTTCTAAAACAGTCAATTTAATTCCTAGCAGTATCCTACAGTTAATTACATTTACTTTTGCTGGAATGGCACCAAAGTTAGATCATTTTTGAAAACACCATTATTCTATGTGGATGCTTGAAAGAATCATGAGCTAAGATGTAATGCTACGGCTAAGAGGAATTATTTCATTATAATGGATTATGTAAAAAGATATCCTCCATTTCTTTTCTTTCTGATATGTTGTTATAACTGAATTGTTATTCTCAACATTATTCTTTATAATACAAAAAAATGTTAGTGTACAGGTAATCCTTGATTTACTTATGATCACAATGGGGACTGGAACTTCCATCAATAAGTGATGCAATCATTTAAGTCAGTTGCACCCAATTTTACAACTTTTTCCATTGTCGTTAAACAAATTAGACAATCATTAAGCAA